AAATAAATAAATCTTAAAAAAAAAAAAAAAGAAATCTTGCCATCTGCAACTATGTGGAAAGAACTAGAGGGTGTTACGCTAAGCGAAATAAGTCAATCAGAGTAAGATAATTATCATATGATGTCATTCATATGTGGAAGTCAAGAAAGAACAGATGAATATAGGAGAAGGGAGGGAAAAATAAGAGGAAATCAGAGGGAAGCAAACCATAAGAAACTCTTGATCACAGGAAACAAACTGATGGTTGCTGGGCGGAGGGAGATAGGGAGATGGGGTAACAGGGTGATGGACATTAAGGAGAGTATGTCATATAATGAGCACGGGGTGCTATAAGCAACTGATGAACCACTAAACTCTAGCTCTGAAAGTTATAATATACTATGTTAATTAACTGATTTTAAAGAAAACTATGAAGGCCTAACTATACACATATGGAACCATTATCATACTAGTTACCATGTAAAAGGAAATTATTAATCCACAAATTTCCCCATTCCGGCCGCTCCACAGAGCCACAATAATTGTACCTAAAGAACAACTATATTGTTATGTTGTTCATTTTTATTACCTACATTCACAGTCCATTCTCCAAAGTCTACCTAATGACATGTAAAGATGAACTGTCAGAAGAATGAATATGGCAAAACAGGAAGGAGAATTAGGCCATTTAAAATCTTTCCTAAAGACTGCCTGCTCTAAACTCCAAGATTCCCAATAAATCCTTTGAAATCTTTAAGTTCCTGACTTCAGATGCCTAATTAAAGCATTCTTTTCACCAATACTTTATTAAGAAACAGTATTATTTTTGTCCTTGTGACCTTCTAGTTACTATACCATTATCACTTTTTACCAGATCATTCCAAGTGGGCTCTATAACACTGCTCTATGTTATGAGAAGCAATTTGCTACACATCCTCATTGGGTTGTAGAAAGCTGTGTATGGTTCCTAAATAACAGAATTCTCCCTTTATTGCCACAGTTCTTGATAGTCTGGTTCCTATACTATGCAAGACAGGTTCCTGGCTGCCACTACAAGCTGTATGAATCTAGACAAGTCCCTTAAGGTGACTTAGGGCTCTGTTTCCATATTTATAAAAATGAGAACTAGATTAACTTCAAGGATCCTTCTGGTTGATCCTTCTCTTCAGATCACATATATCAATGCTGTGACTAAGAGACCCCAGAGAACAAATCAGAGTTGCAGCTTCCAAATATTCAAAACATTTCTCATCTCGGGGCGCCTGGGTGGCTCAGTGGGTTAAACCTCTGCCTTCGGCTCAGGTCATGATCTCAGGGTCCTGGGATCGAGTCCCACATCGGGCTCTCTGCTCAGTGGGGAGCCTGCTTCCCTCTCTCCCTCTGCCTGCCTCTCTGCCTACTTGTGATCTCTGTCAAATAAATAAATAAAATCTTAAAAAAAAAAAAATTTCTCATCTCTCCCCTGGTCTCTAAATGATAATTACAGATACTGTCAAGCAGGTAAGAGATGTTTTACAATACTTTTCAGATTTCCCAATAAAGAATACCTAGCTATGGGGCGATTGGGTGGCTCAATTGGTTAAGCCTCTGCCATCAGCTCAGGTCATGATTCCAGGGTCCTGGGATGGAACCCCATGTCAGCCACCCTGTTCAGTGGGGAGCCTGCTTATTCTTCTCCCTCTGCCTCCTGCTTCCCCTGCTTGCACATGCTCTCTGTCAAATAAATACATTAAATCTTTAAAAAAAAAAAAAAAAAAAAAGACTACCTAGCTACGTAACAGTAAGATTGCAGATTTTAGAGTCATTGGATTCCAAAAATGAGGTGACTCAAAAGAGTAATAGGGAGCCACATGCAAAAAAATAAATTATACATGACTATCCATTTCCAGAAACTAGTCTAATTTCATACCAGGTTATCGCCTGGTGGTGAACAATTTCAGTACATCTGACCCCTGTCATTTTTAACGTCGGAATACCAAGAATGTCACATTAGCTTCAGCAGATCACTCAACTCCAGTCAACTCTGGGGATGCTGTACTAAGAGGCCTGAATGGAGTGGGGTGGAGGGGGGCGGAGCAGAGTAAGGAGGTGGTAGCCTAGACAGAAAGGTTTCACTTCCAAGTAAGATTTCATCAGAATGATTAACTTAAAATGTTTGAAAACCAAAGATCCAATGATGAATGATTCACTCAAAAACTATATGCAAGAATCTGGGACGCCTGGGTGGCTCAGTTGGTTAAGCGGCTGTCTTCGGCTCAGGTCATGATCCCAGCGTCCTGGGATGGAGTCCCACATCGGGCTCCTTGCTTGGCAGGGAGCCTGCTTCTCCCTCTGCCTCTGCCTGCCACTCTGTCTGCCTGTGCTCGCTCTTGCTTCTCTCTCTATGTCAAATAAAAAAAAAAAAAAAATATTAAAAAAAAAACTATATGCAAGAATCTCTGCTAGGCACATTGAGGAGATTCAAAGATGAATTCAGGAAACTGAAGAGGCTATTAGCATTTTAATTCCGTTAACACCCTGACTGTGGTTGGCGTGGATCTGGGTAGCCTGCCATCCCTCGGTTGGATTCTCTACACCAGCTCTTCTCCAGTGCAGTTTGAAAATACAATATTAAAAGAAATATATGCAAATATTAATACTTCAGGAAATATGCTGCCTCATGAGTGATACAGAATGACTTAGGAATTCAGAGGCTGACTATCCATCTGGTTTTAGTAATTAGTGAAGACTTATTGGGATTAGTTTTGAGAAGAGCCCTTAAAGATAAGAACAAATTCATTTTAGTTTACCTCTTGGCCCTCACAATATGTTTTATTTATGTATGAGCATCACTGATTGGAGAAGCATGCTTTGAAACAAGGACAAGTATCACCATTAGGAAGCATGCAGAACATCAAGTGACCAATTAACAGAAGCCCTTCTTCACTCATGTGATTTCCCATTGTCTCAGGCATTACATTAGTGCTCATCCAACTACAAAGTGTATTTTTGTTACAATAACCACTAGTGTTTTATCCAATACAGATGTGAAATAGAAGTGGGAGGAAACAAAACAGCTCCTTTAATGTGAAAAAAGAAAGATTGTGGGGAGTTTCCTACACATCTTTTTCTGCTGTGACACACCACTATCCAATGCAAATGACCCTTCCCTACAAGTTGTCTACTTTTACCTTCCACCAATTCAATCATACATCTGAGGAGCATAAATATGTACATGACTAAAGGCTGGGATAATACACACTGTAACAATTTCCATTATGACCCCATGGGCAAACTGTTTTTGAAATGTGACTTTAGGTTATTAGCACCTATAGAAGAACACAAAGCTCCTATATATATGTTTGGATTTCTGGTAAAGGCAAAAGGCAAAGGCTTAAAGACTATTATAAGTCTCTGTCCTAGAACCCTAAAATGAACCAAAATTATTTTAAGTCATAACAAAAAGACGTTTAGAAAAAATTAAAAAAATTCAAAGATTTCAAATGCCCTATGATACTGTTCTTTAAATATATTTTGTAGTAACACCTACAATCATAATGGTTTAGAATGTAAAGAACCTAACACATTTTATTGCACCCCCAAATTTCAAATAATATACAAATCCTACTTTCGTTGGAATGCATTGAACCCTCGTTCACCTAAAAAAGAAATAACAGTAACAGAATTGTTTAAGGACAGTAATTTGAAGAGAAAATAAAAAGAAACCCCAACCCAAGAAAAGGAGACATTGCTTTCCCGGTGGTGTTACTGGTAACTACTAAAGCTCTAAGCGGTCTAAGTGATCTTTGCACATTCAAGGTAATGATGCTTCCGGTTATTTTATCTCAAATATAAGGGAAAAAAAATCATTAGCTATATGAGGTCTAACAATATGTCACACAGATAACAGGTACGTCAATCTAGCTTCACAGAACTTGGTCAAACTTGCTTAGAAACCAGGAGGGTGTGGATGTGATAGCAACGTTACTACAGACCATGCAAGAGGATAATAAGCCATAAATAAAGGTGAGTGTCAGGGAGATGGAGTCATGAACACCGCACACACCTATTACATTCTTGCAATACTCGAATTGAGAGAAATTGTACTTATTTCTCTCCACGCATTTTCTCTTTCACAATATAAATTATTTCCATGCCTAGCTGGCATCTCACTCCACACCCCAAGCTAGTGACATAAAACATCTTCCCCAAGAGGACCCTATAGAAAGATACACAAGCCTAAGGTTTTTTCTTTTCTTTTGAATTAAGCATGTACGTTCACCTCACTTTAACTTCTCTCTCGAGGGTGTGAAAATATCAACATCCGGTCGCCCACCCCCACCTTCTCGGTAATGCATCGCTTTGACTAGGCTCATCCCTCTCCTTCCCTTTCAGTCTCATCACCTCTGGGAAGCTTATCGAACACTTCTTCCCGCTGCCCCCACCCCCACATATTCATGGCCGAGCCGCATCCTTCTTCCAAGGAAAGAACTAGCAAAAAAAAAGAAAGGCATGCTCGAGAACCGACTGGGGAAGAAGCCTGACCAGCTTCAGGGTTGGCCTTATTCCCCCCGCCTCGGGCCGGCAGTTGGTTCTCTAAATACTGAAACCACTGGTCTCCACGCTCTCCCCACCCCCCACCCCCTGGTAGACACTGCCGGAAAATGAAAAGGCCGGGGTAAAACGCGAGGCTGGGTCCTCCCTAGAGAAACCCTCTGTCCCCGGGGAGGATGGAGATCGTGGGAAGAGCGGGGACACCCGTCCCGGGACCGACCGCCTCACCCACCCGAACCCCCAAAGATGCTGCCGCGACACCCAGGCCATCGCCAGCGGGCCCCTCCCCGCCCCCCGCACTGCAGCGGCACCCGGGGCGGACCCCACGCCGGCCTCACTCGCACACACGCCACACACAAAAGCGCCGCGGCCGCCGCCTTCCCGCCCCCACAGCCCGGCGAGGCAATCAATGAGGCGGCCGGCTCCGCATCCCCTCCATGAACACCCGAATGCAGGGCCCGGCCGGTAGGGGCGGCGGCGCGGCTCACCATCGCTCCGCTTGATCTCCACGTAAATCCCGATCTGGATCTTGCCGAAGTTGGCCGTTGCCATCACCTCATCTGGAGCAGCGGCGGCGGGCCGAGGGAGGGGGACTGGAGGGCGGAAAAGGCGGGGAGGGGGCGGGGTAGGTGTGGGAGGGGGAGCGGTTGCCCGCGGCCGCGCCGGCCCGGGCGACAGCGTGAACGCGAGCCGGGGCCGCGAGGAGCAGCGGCGGGGAAGCAGGCGGAGGCCCCGGGCCTGCAGGCCGGCGGGAGGACGCGCACGCCGGGGCGCGTCGGGGTGAAGCGAGGGCCGGGGCCGTCAGGCAGCGCGGGGGAGAGTGGGAGGGCCCGCGCCGCCCGCCGGGGAGCCGACGCTGGGGAGGCGGGGCGCCGCGCGCCTGCGCAGAGCGCGCCTCCCGCGTCTCTTCCTCGTTGGCCAGTCTTTCCCCGCTGCCTTGAGGCGCCCCCCGCGCAGCTTCGCTGCGGGGCGGGCGGGCGTTGGCTGAGGCTTGATCGGCGGAGGGAGCGGAACGCGCGTGACACCGCCCCGAAAGATCCAGGGTCGCGTTTGATTTCCGCGCGCGGCCTAAAAGAGGCGGGAACCCGCGCGCTGGTGCCTTCCTGTCTCTGTGGCTTCCATGATTTGTCCCTGTGGCCGGAATGGATTAAGGGTTCTATCGGTTGTGAGCTTTCCGAGTGGAATATGGGGTTGAGCGACGTGAATATAGGGACCGGCCATTGACAGCAGGGGCATAGTGTTTCATCTGAGAGTGTCACCAGTATTGCCACTTAGAGGTGACCGACCCAAGTAACCCAAGGTTTCCCATCCAGTTACGGAAAAGGGGAAGAAACACCCTAAACCGAATGAAGTTCCTCTTCTTCCTGGCCTTGCCTTACAGCAGGATCGTCGCGACTCAAACGTAAACCGTGTGCTGGAGCCACTTTGACTGCTCTGTTTATGGCGCATCGGAAGCTGGTGTGTAGTCGTCTCTGCTGTAGGTAGGGTTCGAGATTTTACTTGCTATGGTCCATAAAGGCAATAACGATGATTGAGGGACAGAGGGCAGACAGCATAAGGTTGACTAAGGAATGTGCCTTTTCTGCAGAGTCACTTGCCTAGTCTGACCACATCAACGTGAAGAGAAAGACTCTCCGCCCTGGGAGAGCAGGAAGACCATGTAGGCAAGGAACATGGAAACTTTACAGCACAATGCAAAACTAACAAAAGTGTGACTTTTGCTTCTAGTGTTCAGCCGTTATGGAGGAAACACACTGTTCATGCCTTACTTTCTCTAGTCATTGTTAATCTCTCTGTAATAGTAACTAAAAATAAACAGTTTTAAAATATAAAAATTGGAAGCTAGATACGTGTGTTAAGTGCATATGTGCATATATGCACACGCCTGGAATTTTCAGCCCAATATAATCAAGCAAACTCTAAAAAAAGTTGAAAGACTCAGACTCCATCTGTAACTTGAACATATTGAAGGCATACCCGTCAAAAGAATGAAGTTTCTTAAATACATTTAAAAGAATATATGGGAAAAAAAAAAACCGCTGGGTAGACAACTTAGGAAATAACATCCATTTTGTCTTTTTGTTTTGTTTTGTTTGTTTGTTTTAGAGAGAGAGGGAGAATGTGGGGGACATAGGGAGAGAGAGAATCTTAAGCAGGCTTGATTCCCAGCATGGAGCCCCCATGTGGGGCTCCATTTCACAACCGACGAGATCCTGACCTGAGCTGAAATCAAGAGTCAGATGCTCAACAGACCAAGCCACCCAGGTGCCCCATAATGTCTGCTTTTCTACTCCAGAAATGATATTACTGTAAATCTCACTTCAGGACCTCTGTTTCAAAATAAGATTTGAACAAATCAAGATTTGGTTGTTTTGGGGTATTTGTTTTGTTTTGTTTTGTTTTTTAATAATCTTAAGAGGTCTCTCGAACTCTTCCGGTTCTGCCTAGTAGAATTTCTCTGATGTCTCTATGACTGAGGTGTAAAGCATCTATTAATGTGCTTGAAAATGCTTTACAGAATCAAAGAAATCAAGCTGTACAGCTTTTAAATTTAAAACTGCATCATTAAATATGTTTTATCATGGTTGGTGACACATACCTTGTACCCTCTGGGTTATGTAATTAAGAAGTCTAAACCTTTAATCCATATACAAAGGTATTTTAAAAAGATGTATATGATCGTGCTCCATAAAAAAAAAGTATGAGACATACCACATGTCAGATATAAAAACCTTTCCTTTGTAGGTCATACCCAAAAGGCTATGTTTTTTGGTACATTTCAACATACATATTTACCAAGATCTGCTTTGTGTGCACGTAGCCTCCTAAAGAACAGTCATAAATAAATGCAATGAGGCCATATTTCCATCAACATCCTAGATCAAGAATTCTAACTCTGGCTCAGGCATTAACAAAATATATAACCCCAACTAGAAGAGTGACTGGCACACACTAGACATTGACACTTGTTCAATAAGTTAACTTGTTAAACTGCTCTGAATCTCTCTCAGCTCTTAGAATAGCCTGGAAAAGTAACTCTGTTCTCTCAACTGCAGAAAGTTTTTGTGAGGCTCAAATGAAATAATAAAACATGGCAGTGCTTTGATATTTATAAAGTATAATACAAGTTTAAAAACAAAGTAAAAGCATCCTATAAAAAATAAACCAGTACTCTACTATAATCCTCAAATCATTAATTAGAATTTTATGTCCAGTGACATAAAATTAAACACAGTTGGCACTGGCTCTGACCCTCATCACCTCACATTTGGCAGGACAGCAAAAGCTTTACAGGTCTGTCTCTATTCTTTTACCCATTCCAGGCCATCCTACCTTCACTGGCAGAATAATCTTACTCAATGATCATTTCTGTCAAGTCATAACCTAATAAGGGTGGTTGCTATTGACCTATCCTATCCTGAGTTGATAAACTTTTTAAAAAAATCATTGTTATTTTAAACCAACCAAGCTCGTCTCCTTATTATGCCTGAATTCCTTTTAAAAATTTCTGTGCTTACTGGGTATTTACCCCAAAGATACAGATGTAATGAAAAGAAGGGCCACCTGTACCCCAATGTTCATAGCAGCAATGGCCACAGTTGCCAAACAGTGGAAAGAACCAAGATGCCCTTCAATGGGTGAATGGATAAAGAAGATGTGGTCCATATATACAATGGAGTATTATGCCTCCATCAGAAAGGATGAACACCCAACTTTTATATCAACATGGACGGGACTGGAAGAGATTATGCTGAGTGTAATAAGTCAAGCAGAGAGAGTCAATTATCATATGGTTTCACTTATTTGTGGAGCATAAGGAATAACACAGATGATATTGGGAGGTGGAGAGGAGAAGTGAGTTGGGGGAAACCGGAGAGGGAGACAAACCATGAGAGACTGTGGACTCTGAGGCACAAACTGAGGGTTTTGGAGGGGAGGGGGATGGGAGGTTGGGTGAGACTGGTGGTGGGTATTATGGAGGGCATGTATAACATGGAGCACTGGGTATGGTGCATAAACAGTGAATTTTGGAACACTGAAAAAAATTTTAAAAAAATTTCTGTGCTTTGAAATAAGTCAATCAGAAAAAGACAATTATCATATGATCTCTCTGATATGAAGAATTGGGGGGGGTGGGGGGTAGGGAAGGAAAAAATGAAACAAGATGGGATCCAGAGGGAGACAAACCATAAGAGACTCTTAATCTCAGAAAAAAAACTGAGGGGTGCTGGAGGGGAGGGAGGTAGGAGGGATGGGATGGCTGGGTGATGGACATTGGGAAGGGTATGTGCTATGGTGAGTGCTGTGAATAGTGTAAGACTGATGATTCACAGACCTGTACCCCTGAAGCAAATAATATGTTATATATTAATAAAATAAAAAAGTTTTCATGAAATATAGAAAGCAACAATTTTTTTTTTTTTAGATTTTATTTATTTATTTGGCAGACAAGAGATCACAAGTAGGCAGAGAGGCAGACAGAGAGAGAGGGGAAGCAGGCTCCCTGCTAAGCGGAGAGCCCGATGCAGGGCCTCGATTCCAGGACCCTGGGATCATGACCTGAGCCCAAGGCAGAGGCTTTAACCCACTGAGCCACCCAGGTGCCCCGAAAGCAACAAATTAAAAAAAAAGAAATTCTGTGCTTTGGGGTCTTTAGTACACAAACCTTAAGAGATTATTCCACCGAAGAGGCTGTTAAACTGGTGAGTTTGGAGGCAGCAGCCAGCACTCCCCGTAACCAGTAATCTGGTCCTCTGGTGGAAAACTAGAGGTACAACATGCCTCCAGTTTTAGTTTAAGATTATCTGTATCTGTCTACATCTTATAACTTGAACTCTTCCATTTAGTATTTGCATCTATTCTGTTACTTCCAGTTTGTGGATCTAGGCTCAAATGGAGAAAACAGGGTTAGCAGAGACTGTCTTTGATTTTACTATTGTCCACTTTGGCCCAGAACTTTCTTACAGATTTTTTTTTTAAGAACTTTTGGTGGTGATTCTCCTTTCCCCTTAATTTACTCAGATTTAAATTCTAGTTAAACTTGTGTAACTTCACTGTAATTAATTTTAGTCCTTACACAAATATATTTAAAATGCCTGGAGGTACAAATCCCAATTTTACCTGCTCTAAATATCCACTCTTTTCTTCTCCACTGGGTTTCTCTCCATTGCCTACAAACATGTTCAGGCAATTTTCTCTTGAGGGGGAAAAAAAAAATCTCTTGATCCTTCGCTTCCTATTTAAATTCCATTCTATTTTTCACTTTCCCTCCCCTGCCAAATTCTCAAATGAGAGCTGTAAATACTTACTGCCTTCATTCCCCATCACTCATTAATTTCCTAAGCCCTAAATCTGGATTCACTCCTCTATGGAACTGTATTTCTTAAAGTGAACAATTACCTTCCAATTACCTCATTCAGTCGACATCACTATCTTTATTTGCCTTGAACTCTGAAAAACGGTCTACCTACTTTCTTCCCTACAACACCTTGCCCATTCCTGCCTCAGCTTCCTTTCCATGTGGAATGGTGCAGTGAAAGTGTCCCTTTATGCTTTCTCCTCCCAATTTAATCTATAATGGCTGTCCTACCTGGATGATTTTCCCCCAGT